GATGAGAGAGAGGCTACAAACGGTCCCCGGGTGGGCTGGCGGAGGGAGCCCGCCATGAGGGCGGCTACAGGAGGGCACGCTTCCTTGGCCCACGGTGGCGGCAGGTAACAGACACGTAAACACAGGAAATAGCCATAAGTATTTATTAAGGAAGGGGGAGAAAGAGAGACGGAGAAAAGAGATAAAAGGAGAGAGGAGAGATAAAAGAAGAGAGAGACAGAGAAAACGCATGCGCACGCTAAGGAAGCAGAAAGAGAGAGAGGGGGGTCCCAAGATGGCGATGGGCGGGTCAGAGGTTATGGGAGTGGGCTTGGCTAGGGCAGGGACCCAAGAATAACATTTAGTACGCATGTGTCCTTTCGTTGCAAATGGGGTTTCTGGTGAGATTCCTAGAAAATTACAGGTTTACATCTGGGAAGGGAGAAAGACCTTAAGCGGTTGTTAATTGTGCATTCTTGCTTTCCTGCTTGCTAGGGGTTTCACTGGATTCCGAGGAGAGGAGTATTTCTCTCTTTTCATGTCCCCCTAAATTTTTCCTGCCTCTTTTAAAAACTGTTTTTATTTTTTATTTTATTTAAATACAAAACAAAACAAAAACAGACTATTTTTTTATTTTACATACCAATCCCAGTTCCCACTCCCTCCCCTCCTCCCATTCTCTCCTACTCCTCCTCCCCCCTCCCCCGCCACCCCCAACTCCAACTGCCAGGCTAAGAAGCCAAAAGGAGCCTACCCTACCTCAGTCATGGCAAGACCCAGAGCTGACTTATGAGCATGGAGGCTTGCTAGAACCCGAAGAGAGCTAGAGAATATTCCTGCTTTTCCCTTGGTGACTTCAAAACAAAGCAAAACACACACATACACACACACACACACACACACACACACAAAAAAAAAAAAACCCAAATCACATAGAAAAAGTGTCTGTATCAACAAGATTTGTCCAGACCGTAAACCAGCTTTTTAGCCACACAAACCTACATTGTCCCAACATTGATTATCTAGGCGTGTCTTTGTAAGCCATCCTGTGAGCTTTGGAAAACTTTATTACTGTTACTAAAAAATAAGATTGTAAGGTTTTTTGCATATACATTTCAGAAACCATATAGATGTGTTTTGTGGACAGGCTATATAACTGGTAAAAAAAATTTCTGACTCTTGCTTAATAAAATTAAGTGGTTCGATTATTTTTAAAAGATAAATCCCTGCCTCTTTCTGTCCTGTCTCATTATGGAAAAAAGAGAGAGAGAGAGAGTAGGGAGGCACGAGGTCCTGAGTTCTATCCCCACTGCTGCAGAACCAAACAAATTCCAGGGTGGAAGCAACACTGTAATTTTCAAGAGAAAGAATGATATTACAAAAGCTGTGGAAGGAACCCTCTTCTGCCATGACTTATGAAACCATCCCACAAGCAAGAGATGTGAGGGAGGGATTTCACCCTCTAGAACTTGGACCCGCTCCTCCTCCTTTGTTCTTTTCCACTAATCAGCATCGCTCCTTGAACATGCACATCCTAACAGTTGACTGTCTTAGAGACCAGAAGACGCATATTGTAGGTAAGCAATGTAAGGAGTTTACAAGCAGATAGTAGAACACAGATGAGCAGAAAAGAAGTCATAGAGGTCAAATATGAGAAGCCTTCAAGGTCTGTAAGCAGAACTGTGGTGTCTTCACCTCAGACAAAAGCAGTGAAGCTGGAGTCAACAGAACGTGAATGCACTGCTCGGAGAGGTGGCTCTGGGATGGTAATACATAAGGTGGGGACCGCCTGCCATACAGCTTCACACCCATAAGGCAGGAAAAGCCTTTCAGAAAAGTAAAGAAAAATACAAATCTTTTAGTAGAAACTTAGCAAAATCTTTAATTTTGTCCATGCAAATGGAAGATGGTTGCTATGACGACACTGGAAATTGCTAGTCTGTCTGGGAAAATGGTATAACGGCTCTCCTCCACACCTCCTCTACATCCCCACCACCCATAGTAAGAATTCCAGGGGCTGGAGAGATGGCTCAGAGGTTAAGTTCAAGTCCCAGCAACTACATGGTAGCTCACAACCATCTGTAATTAGATCTGGTGCCCTCTTCTGGTCTGCAGGCATACATGCAGGTGAAACACTGTACATATAATACATAAATTAATTAAAAAAAGAATCCCAGTTCCATATGCCACTCACCTAAAGGAAAGACAATTCTTTGCTAAGAACTCTAGAGAGCTGAGATTTGCTTCTTCAGTGGAATGGAGGCTCTACGGAAATATCAGCATGAAGAGTCTAATGGGGCCTGGAAGGCAGCGTGGCTGTGTGTGCTCTTGTGGATCTGAGGACGAGAAAGGTTAGAGTCTTTCTAGGAATGTTGTTGGTGAAAAATCATCTCATTTAACAGAAGGAAAAGAAATGTCTAAATGTCTATCTAAAGCAAATGACATTACATTACAAAGAGAAAATAAATCCTTGGTCAGGCTTAGTGGTGCACACCTTTAGCGCCAGTGCCCAGGAGGCAGAGGCAGGCAGATCTACGTGAATTTGAGGCTGGCCTGATCTACAGAGCAAGTTCCAGGGCAGTCAGGGCTACACAGAAAAACGCTGTCAAAAGAAAGAGTAAACCACTGATATGTTAGAGATTCCAAATAACAGTAAGACTAGTGGAGAATATCTGACCAGTTAGGTGGTTCAACTACAAACTCAGAAGAGGAGAGGGGAGAGGAGAGGAGAGGAGAGGNAGAGAGAGAGAGAGAGAGAGACAGAGAGAAGAGGAGAGGAGAGGAGAGGAGAGGAGAGGAGAGGAGAGGAGAGGAGAGGAGAGGCGAGGAGAGGAGAGGAGAGGAGAGGGGAGGAGAAAAGGGATGAAAGGGGAGGGAGGTAGAGAGGGGAGGAGCCCTGTGGATCTGTGATGTAGGTTAACAGTACAGTTTTCAGGGGCTGGAGAGATGGCTCAGTGGTTAAGAGCATTGCCTCATCTTCCAAAGGTCCTGAGTTCAATTCCCAGCAACCACATGGTGGCTCACAACCATCTGTAATGAGGTCTGGTGCCCTCTTCTGATCTGTAAGCATACATGCAGACAGAATATTGTATACATAATAAATGAATAAATATTTTTAAAAAGAAAACAAAAGAGTACAGTTGTGACTAACTACAAACTTGTGAGCCAGTAAGGTAACATGATTTCAAACTATTCTAATGAAGACATGAGCTAGGTTGACAGAAACTCAGCCCACAGCGGGCCAGCAAGTCCACTTGTACCTGTACCAGTCAAACAAAGTAAAAATCCTGCTGTTCGGGTTGTTAGGGATGGAAGCCCAGGGCTCTGCCACGGAACTGAATTCTCTGTCGTGGACATAAAGGGGTTTTGTTTAGTTGTGTATAATTGCATGTGTCTGCTAAAAGAAGCCAGAGGTGTTCAATTCCCTGGAGTTGGAACTATAGGTAGTTGTGAGCTCCACATGGTGAGACTTGAACCCAGATCCTCTGGAAGAACAGCAAGTGCTTTTTTTTCCTCCTGGTTTTTTGAGACAGGGTTTCTTTGTGTAGCTTTAGAGCCTGTCCTAGAACTTTCTCTGTAGACCAGGCTGACCTAGAACTCACAGAGATCCGCCTGCCTCTGCCTCCCGAGTGCTAGGATTAAAGGCGTGCGCCACCACTGCCTAGCCAGCAAGTGCTCTTAACCACAAATCCATTTCTCCAGCTTCTGGATATAAATTTTTAATAGGTTCATCAACTAAGGTTCTCACAAGAACAGTGAAGATGATTGTCTCTAGAAAAACCAAGTTCTAAGAAAACGTTAAAGGAGCCAAGATCTGCCTTCCAGAGTTAGAGGCTTGCTCCTTGGGACAGGGATGAACTGGACTGGCATGGATCCAGAAAGATGAACTGGGCCAGAGGCAACTCCCAATGCTCAGATTAGGGGAGGCCACTGTGGTCCTTGTCAGCCAGGGGAAGGGGCAGTGTCATGGATTCCCTTGGGGCCAGCAGGACCATCTGTTTGAGACTCTTGCTCTTTGAAAGATCCAGATCTGAAATGTCCCCGGAATGTAGGTGTCCAGCAGAATCTTTACTTGGAGTGCATAGGCTCCGGAAGCAAAACAAAGCGACAGTTCCCAGAATAGAAACGAAAACATTGTTACTTCCAATCCCAAGATTCAACTTTTCACTCCAAACACTGAATTAGAAATTCATTAAGCTATTAAGGTCCATGATTTTCAGGAGTTATCTTAATACTTTATTTCTATTACTAAGATACAAAGTTTCTGCAAGTTTAAAGACGAAATTGGCTTTTATTGGTGAATCATGAATTGGATAGCAATTTAACTACAGAATAGGAGATCTTGGGTCCTACAGGAACCAGGAAACAACCAGGTCCGTTTTCTCATGAGGGAACAGCAGAGGGGACTGCCAAGCCTGACTGGGGCCTTCCTGTTGGTTAGTGCAATCTGCTTTGTTTAAGGGACTCGGTTGCTTGCTTTAAGCAGCACTGTGAACACAAAATAAAATAAAATAAAGGAAAATCCATCTTTTTCGTTTTTCTTTCCAAGACTGGATTTCTCTGTGTAGCCTTAGTTGTACCAGAACTCACTCTGTAAACCAGGTGGGCCTCAAACTCAGAGATCCATCTGCTTCTGCCTCCCTAGTGCTGGGATCAAAGGCATGTACCACCACCCAGCTTGAGGAACTCCATCTTGCAGTGATATTGGGGCCCAGTGCAGGACTTCAGTCCAAAGCAATGATCTACCATAAATTTTATTTAACTGCATAAATGATATATAAACGAATGTCATTATAATGAAAACAATTTCTAAGTCACAATCTACTTATTTCAAATAGTATTGAGTATTACACAGAACCAATAAAAAGAAAACACTGGCAAAGTCTTCAAGCATTGTAACATGAACTATACAGTGTGTGCAATTGCAACATATCAATTTAATGAAAAGTGAGGTACTTTCAACTCTGAACTATATTAAAGAGTGTATATGACTATTTCTTTTTTTAATCATTTAATTTCAGTTGTTGGAGATCCAAAATTCATGGGACAGTACTACAAATGGAGGCAACAAAACCGACAGCATCATAAACAGTGGAAGCTGAAGTAAGACATCCCAGGTGCTTTGACTGTGTAGTGGCATTGACCTTGAGTGTTGGCGATTCTGCTCGCTACTATCTACTGAGCCATTGGCAGAAACCCTGGGAAGAGCAGCCTATGCCTTTTATAAGCATGAGACTAATCATAAGAAAGTATAATTTTCTTTCACAGGAACACAGGTAGGAAAGCTAGTAAGCAGAGACGGCACCTTTGTTTCCTGGCCACCTAGACCCAAAATAATCACATAGAAACTATTACAACACTGCTTGGCCAATCAATTAGGCATATTGCCAGTTAGCTCCTATGTTTTAAACTAACCTATGTCCATTATTTTGTATTTTACCATGAGGCTTGTGGTTTACAGGTAAGGTTCTGCAGGCAGGCCTATTTCTCCTTTGGCAGCTACATGGCATCTCCTTGACTCCGCCTACTTTCTCCCAGCATTCTGTTTAGTTTTCCCACCTAGCTCTATTCTGCCCTGCCACAAGACCAAAGCAGCTTTATTCATTTACCAAACACATTCACAGCATATAGAGGGGAATGCCATATCAAAAGCTGGCATCATGGAGAGAGGACATGAGCCATAGAAGAGCAAGCTGGTTCTCTTCAGAGTTAGTTATCACCAGTTAGTTACCTTTTCATCTTTCTCATAGCTCTGACTTTGTTTTCCCAAAATTTCTCATTCAGGAGCCATGTATATACACACACATACACACACACACACACACATACACACATATACATACACACATATATACACAAATACATGTATATATAAATATATTTTTATATATGAATAAAGATTATATATACATATAAAATCTTTATTCTTGTATAATTTAAATCATTTTATTGGAGGAGGATCTGGGAATAATGTGCTTGCCATGCATGTATGAAGACCAGAGTCCAGGTCCCCAGTACCCATGTAAATGCCAGATAGGCCTGCTGTCCCTCCTATAATCCCTGTGCTCAGAAGTCAGAGACAGGGGGTCCTGTCAAGCTGGGATACTTTTTACTAACCAAATTGGAGAGCTCTAGGCTAAGCAAGGAACCCTACCTTAGTGGAACAATCAAGAAAGACATCAGATGTCAACCACTAGCTTCCATCCACATGTGCACAGCCACACACGTCAACACATAGGTTTACATGCACATACACACACCCACATGTGCACACACCACATACAACAAATAAGGGTGGACTCACTGTACAAAGTGATGGGCTTTTAATTTTTTTCCATTCAAATATAACATACACTCAGAACATATTAAACACTCCCTTTCTCTCCCTGCCCATCTCTCTGCTAAGGCTCCTTTCTCTTTCCAAACAAGTCTCCCTTCTATTCTCTGTCTGTCTGTCCGTCCGTCCGTCCGTCCGTCCGTGTGTGTGTGTGTCCTGAATTCCACATAGGAGAGAAAGCAGGTAAGTAGTCTGCTTTCTTCACAGTGTGTAGCAAATGTGCTGCCATGAGGTCTGGGAAAGGAAGACCTTGTAGCACCCAGCTTCTTCATCTCACATTTTAGCTCTTGTTGTCAGCAGCCAGTATTCTGGGTTTTTGAGATTGAAACACATGGCCATTAAACATGCTCTCTGTTATGAATTTGAATAAAAGGCAAATAGACTTTTCTCTACTTTTTTTTTTCCTACAAACTTTAACAACAACTTTTCTTCGGGCCAAAGCAAAGAAACATTTTTATATCGAGTTCCTGCTTTCAGCATAAATAATAGGCAGGAAATAATGTATCAAGCTGCAAGGGGGGGAATATGAACATGTTTTCTCTTGAAGGCCTGTGTCAAGTTTATTTTGCAGTTGAGAAATTTACTCAGAATCTAAGATGGTCCTTGCTTTGACCTGACTCCTTTTCCTGTCTCCTGCCATGGAGCTGTTCTGATTTACTTGTTTGTTCATTGGTTCATTATGTTGGCCAGAGTCTCCCGGAGCCCCAAGATTTGGAAAAATGAGGCCCATGTCAGTTTCAACTTAGTCACTCACGTCTACATGTGGCTAAAATAGCTGAGCTGTTTGAGTGATAGAACGCTTCAAAATACATTATTTTGAGTGTATAGGTCAAGTTGTGTGCAGTGGCCCTGTCAGAAGAAGACGCTCACACCTTGTGCCATCTGGTGGCTGATGAGGATATGTGCAGATCAAAGGCCTTTGCTTCTGATAAAGTGTGGAACTGAGTAGTCAGGAAAGAAACCACTTCGAATAACGTTTTTAAAAGATGTTTCACTTATGTGCGTTTTGTAGTGGCATAAATATTTGTGTATGCAAATGAATGCCAGCATAGAAGAAACCTAAGGAGCAGTGAAGTTCAGCTTCTTTCCAGGTAACTACCAACAATTCCTAATGTATGATATGTGATACAGTGCTCAGCTGAGAGGCTCGAGTAGAAAATGTGAGGAATTGTATAGGTAAGCCATAGTACTTTCATGTACCAGAGTTTGTTGTTTCTTTTTCTTTCTTTTTTTTTATTTGTTTTTGTTTTTGATTTTTCAAGACAGGGTTTCTCTGAAGCTTCGGAGCCTGTCCTGGAACTAGCTCTTGTAGACCAGGCTAACCTTGAACTCACAGAGATCCACCTGCCTCTGCCTCCTGAGTGCTGGCATTAAAGGTGTGCGCCACACCGCCCAGCTGAGTTTGCTGTTTCTTTAAAGATATAATGCTTATTTTTACACACGAATGTGTATCTGTGTATATATATGGGGGGGGTGCATGTATACATACGTGTAAGTCACATCCCCTGGAGATGGAATTACAGGTAATTGTAAGTTGCCAGATGTGCGTTCTGGAACCTGAACTGTAGTCTTCTGAGAGAGCAGAAAGCTTTCTTAACTGCTGAGCCATCTCTCCAGCCTCCCTTGTGGTGTATTTGTTGGGGCTGTGTGTTAGCTACTTTTCTCATTGTTGTGAACAAATGTCCTAGGAAAGAGTGTAAGAAAGGCAGGGTCTGTTTGGGCTCGCAGTGTGAGGGTATGGCCACCGTGCCAGGGAGGCATGAAGCAGGAAGGCAAGGTGGTGGTCACATTGTGTCCATAGCTGGGAAGCAAGAGATACTGGCACTGGGACGGTCTCCTTTTCTCATTTTGTTCAGTCCAGGATCCTCCCCCACACATGGAGAAGCGCTACTCACAGTCAAGGTGGCTCTTCCTTCCTCGGTCAGATCTCTCTGGAAATAAGACATGTTCAGAAGTATGTCTCCTTCATGGTGCTAAATTGAGTTAGCAATTTAAAGTAGCCATCATGACAGGGTGAGGGGGTTTCAGAACTATTGGAGACTGAATCCAGGGCAGGGCACTACACTGTTAGATAAGCCCTCAATCACTGAGCTAAATACACAGCCCCTAGTTTCTTGAGACAAGGCAAACTTTGAACTAACTTTGTAACCTGGGCTAAATTCAAACTTGCTGTCCTCCTGCCTCAACCTCTTGGGTGTGGGAATTACAAACACGAACCATCATGCCTATCATCTCTCTGTTTCTTTTACAATTTTTTAAAATGTTTATTTATTTATTCCATATACACTGTTCTGCCCGCATGCCAGAAGAGAGCACCAGACCTCATTATCGGTGATTATAAGTCACTGTGTGGGTGCTGGGAATTGAACTCAGGACCTCTGGAAGTGCAGCCAGTAGTGCTCTTAACCTCTGAGCCATCTCTCCAGCCCTCATCTCTTTGCTTTAAATAAGTGTTTGAAAATGTCTTCCTTACACTGATATTTTTTCCTGTTTAAACGAACAAAACAGGGGTTGGAGATGTGACTCGATGGTGGAGCCCCTAGTTTAGCACATCTAAGGACATTAGCTTCAACCTCATTAATTGTTCACTCACTCATTCATTAGAAAGAAAAATAAAAATTGAGACTTTTATCTGCATCGTGTTTCCCTTCTCCTGTTGTTCCTCCTGCTCACTGCCCGCATCCGGCAGTACTTGATTCTTACTCTGACGTGGAGACCTGAGATTTCTTCCTCGTCTGTGCCTTCCACCCAGAGTATCTGTCCCAGCAGTCTTTACGGGGACCCTGACTTAAGTCTTGGCCTGAGTCAAAAGGTGGCCTTTGATGTATGTGGTTAAGTGCAGGGGCCCTGGAACTGTCCGGTTATCGCCCCTGGGTCCTTGAGCATCGTATCTGACGCCTTTTGCTTCATTTGTGTCCCTGCAATAGCACCTGCCTTCCAAAGAGATCTCGAGGATTCACTAATTCAATATGTGTAGATGCTTTTCATGCTGCCTGGCGCAGAACCTAGCACACAGACGCGCTCGCAGGACTTGCCATTGTTCATTCTGCCTCTGCTCTGGTCCTTGTTCCCGACACAGATGGAAAACCTTTCCTCGGAAATAGGAGAGAGAAGAGAAAGGCAGATCTTGGCCAGGGCTCTTGCCCTCTTAGAACATGTCACCCTGGTCATAACACAACCGTCCTTGCAAAGCTGTTTTGCATTGAGCTTTTTGAACGACACCACATATTTAAAGTTTAGCCTAGGAACATTCAAGAAACATTAGCTCCTGAGGAGTGGGGAATATGGAAGTGTATGCCCCCCCCCCAGCTTTCCACAGAATGAAAATAATCTCTGGCAGAAATATGTAAAAAATGTAAATGTATCTCAAGTTAGAAAATAGCACGTAGCTGACCACACGTCTCTAGTGCCATTGTGCCTGCAATTTGCCTTCTCTGCTCCACCTCTCTTCTGCCTGGTACAGCGTTGCACAAGGGCACAGCACTGCACAAGGGTGGCGTGGATCCAGCACACACTTCTCCATGTGAAACTGTCCTCTGTGTGCTCTAAGGTCGCAAATCTCCCATCCTCTCTTGTGTAGCATGCAGTTCCTGCCTCTGGGGAAGCACCCAGGAGAGGGGCATTGAAATAGTCTTGCATTCTCTGTGCTTCGTGGAGTGGACAGCACACAGTAGGTTCTCAGTTCACTATTGAAAAAAATGCATGTGCATCTTGTCTCACCATTTAAAATTAGAATTAGAAGAAATCAGTTTTAGGAAAAAAAAAA